GGTTTTATCGGTTAATTTCCATTTGGCTCTTGCAGGTTCCTTCCCTAATGGACGCCTCCCCTTCCAGCGATTAGGAAAGCCACAACGGCTTTAGGGTTTGCTAATCCCTATTCCTTTGGTGACGAGCACTTCGTCATGGTGCGTCAAAATAAATCGATACTAGCACTTATACGTAGTATAGGTGAAGTAGAGTTCGTATCCACATGGAAAGGAATACTTTTCTTTTTATGAACTTAGTAAATAAAAGGGGGGGTTTTGGTGTTAAATGATTCAATTTAATTAAAAACTAAAATGAATGACTTATATGAGATTTAATTCAAGATTAAAAAGGACTTGACATTGCTACTTTCCACTTGTTGATATATTTTAGTCGATCATTGTTATATCTATAACTTATTCCCTCTCGAATACTCAATCGAGGAGTATATCCAATTCATCGAGGGTAGTTATTAACAACGACCGTTCATTAATAACCCTTACTATTAGTCAAGTATAGAACACCGCCATATACCGACTTGATAGTAGCTTTTAATCTTTTAACTTCTTGATGAAATCAATTGAGATTGATAACCTCAACACAATGGTTTCGGTTTAACCAACAAAATTAATCCCTCTTAAGTTTATCAACCACGACCATGCATTAATAAACCGAAGTTACTTACTTGTGAAACCATTAACGATTAACCATCGGTTCGTCGATCGTTTCTAGTAATAATTAATATATGAAACAAAACTAGTTGATCCTTTAAGTAATGTTCAAAATATTAATATGAAATATGAATAGGAATTAATTAATATTCAAGGAAGAATATTATTAAAGGAGATGAATCCTACTATAATTAATATCAAGATGTTAACTAATTGTCATCTTAGCAACATTCCCCAACATTAATATAGAGATACTATTAAGGAAAGAACTAATAATTAATATTCAAGGGAAGAAGTTTAAGAAAATAACTCACAACTTTAATATCAACAAGCTTCAAGAGCAACACCAAGAATTGAAAGTTTAGCTCCTCATTTGGAGACTAAACATAGCTAGAAAAATATAAAGAAAGACTATTCTAAACTGAGCTTAAGAAAAATATAAAGAAAGACTATTCTAAAATGAGCTTAAGAAGGGATTATCAAATGGGAAGGAAAAGGGGTGTATTTATAGGTGTTTGGAGGTGGCAGGGTCATTTACCTGATCGGGTTTTTCAGAAACCCGATCGGGTTTCTTGAGTAAGTGCCCGGAATCTTCATTAGTCACATCTACCCGATCGGGTTTTTGATTTACCTGATCGGATAAAAGACAAATCTTTGCCAAATCTTCGCCATGCACGTTTAATTGCCTCCAAATCAAAATTTGATCTTCTGGTCAAGTCAAACCCGATCGGGTTTTTGGAAAACCCGGTCGGGTTTTTGACTATTTTCCCAAATTTTCACTTTCTCTTGTTCCCTTGCACTTTCCTTGACTTTTCCAGGATCCTTTTGATGATCTTTACCTAGTTTAAGCTCAGAAAATCCATAATCTATACAAATTACAAGTAACTAGGAAAAATAAACTATTACACCAAAAGTGTGTAATTTCCCAAACAACAACAAATAAAACTAGTTAAAATTACAAACATAAACAATAACAATTTTATACTATCAAACTTCCCCCTACTTAGTTCATTACTCGTCCTCGAGTAAAAGTCCACATAATAGCTCACAATCCGTCCATTGAATAGATAATTTCAAAGGCATAAAACGTTCAGTTTGTTCATCCATCCTCAAAATACAAAGAAAAGAGGGTCTTCATGATCTTCAACAACAAATTAGTTATGCCATTTTACAACATATAGGCCTCCAGACATGCAGCAGCAGCAGCTCTGATCCCATTTTACAACATATTAATCAGCCCGGCAGCAGAATTTTCATGGAACCCTACCAAGAAGGCAAGAATGTGATGGTTAGTGTGCGAGGAAGATCTCCATTCTTGGCTGAAGTAGTTATGTGCATTTTTATTTGAATATCGTTAAAAGAGTTTGGTGGGAAATGTTGCTCAAAATTAAAGGTTCCCCAATATTAACAATGCATGGCCTTGCAATACATAGGAGCTTTGGTTAGCACTCTATCACTCAACTTTTTACTGATTTGACCACTATTCACAATTTGGTTTTTTAACCATATATCAAACGGCTAATATGGATGTTTGGTTAGTTGGCTTTTTATTTGACTTTTTATTCTAAGGGCCAAATTGAAAAAAAATTGATAAACCCAATGTTTAGTGTTGGCCGATCGAGGATGTGATCCGGTATGAATTGATCTGGTTTGATTTTATCTGGTTTGATCTGGTGTACCCACCCTGCCTTCCCTTCTCCTCGTCACTTCAACATCTTCTGTCCAAAAGAAAAAAAGCAGGGATGGAGCAAACCTTCTTCATTTAGTCCGCATCGATTACTTCTCCTTCCGCAAACTATCTGTTTTTGCTCACAGGTTACTTCTTCTTCACATTGATTTTCTTTTGGATTGTTCTGTTTCGATATATAGATGCATGTAACTATGTAAGACATATAAATAACTCTGAAATAAACGAAAGCAAGTCTTTTAAAAACAGCAAACATGTACTATGATTCCATCGCTGTTTTGATTTCATGTGTGTGTGTGTGTGTTACACGATCCCATTATGTGAGAAAATGGTTGCAGGTAGTGTTTGGAGAAGAACATCTGATTTGATAAAACTTCTGGGAGTTGTGGCCTTCTTTCAATGGAAGTATTTTGAGGAGTTAGAATCCATGGAAGTATTTTGAAGAGTTAGAATCTAGATATTCTGATTTTCAGGAAGCTTTAACTGAAATAAGTTTATTATTTCCATGCCCGATCTAGATTCCTTTTTTTCTCCATCACCACTTGATTTAACATCTCATGCAAACATAAAAATGATACTCTTTCACTCATTAAACAATCCTTCATACAATAGTTATTCAATTAGTTTCTTAAACTTTCTGTATAGGTAGGAGGAATAATCAAATAAAGCAGATGTCAAAGATTCAAATAACCTACCTGCAACTTCATGTACTCATTTTCCTTTTTCTTCATTTAACATACCTGTTGAGTTCTTACTTGCTACCAACAGAAGTAACAACAATTATCGAAGATTAAATGGCATTGCATTGGCACAATTTCTGAATAGCAATTGAAATAAATAAAGGGAAAATTACTTTTAATAGTACAAAATATCTTCCAAAAACCAAGAATAATACGTACTTTGAAAATAACTTTTAATAATACCAACAATGTAAATATAGACCAAAAGTAATATAGAGCATTTTTCACTAAAAATTCAGTCGTTTAATTCACCAAAAAATAATATTAAGATATCAAATAAGTGATTGTATTTCCAAATATTATTTATTTGATGGGTTGCTATTAGTTTTTGATGTCTTAAATGATTGAAATTCTTGTTGAAAAGTGACTCCATATTATTTTCGTTTCCTATTCAAATAGTTTGTATTATTTAAAAATTATCTTCAAAATATGTATTATTATTGGTTGATGAACGATAGTTGGTATTATTTAAAGTTATTTTCCCATAAATAAATAACTATTCATAACTTATTACAGAGAACCTTTTTTCTAAATTCATCTCTTGCTTTGTAACTCTAAGTCAAGCCTCTCCCCTTTGGATTCTAATCTGGATATGTCTGACAAAAGTCTGCAGGAAGAAAAGAAAGATACTACATTTGGATTAATGAAATATGTATAACATCAAGTATTGCCTTCCTACTACTTGCTCATTTTGAGAATGCAGCCACATTGCAGAGTAAACTCACAGCACTAAAAAGAATTATTGATGTGTTCATATAGAGTATCTGAAAATTGGAATTTTTTAGTAGTTAACTACCCTTTTTAGGGGCTAGCCACTTAAAAATTGGAATGCCTCTCTATGTTTGATACGGACAAGAATACTTTAGTCAATTCTTCCATTTGGCAGCCTAGTTAATCTCTCAAAATTGAAATTTTTCTTTGGCGACTTTTCGATAGTATGCTTTCATTGCCATATAATAGATGTAAATTCAGAAAGATTCTTCCTTCCAGGTGTCCCCTATGCTGTAGAACTTTGTGTATGAGTTTCTTTTCTCTGACACCAACATAGCCCGAACGCAAAACTATTAATGCTCAGCTACTCCCATCAAATTTCACTAAGCTCAAAAGACCTAATATACGTATACTGCATGGAGAAAACCAGTACGCCCAACATTTAAGCTCAAACTAGCTTCTGTGAAAAGCGCAACCCCATTTGAGCAAGTGATACTATTACAAATCAAATGGGTGATTTAGTGGAGGCTATACATTTACTTTGCAGTTTGACTTTCAAACAGAGGCCGGCTATGTAGCATGAAAACTCTTTGGGAACTCTCCAAAGAAGCATTTTTTGAACAAAGTTGACGTTTTCTGTTTCCCGTTTCTCATTATTTTCACGTTTCCATGCAACATAGGAGGCCGGAGTTTGCTACACTTTATGAGGCTCTTGACTGGAAACAATATTGCTTCTCTACAATTGGGTGTGGAACATAATTCCTTACAGATGCAAAAGTATATTCATTCACCAGAAAGGCAGAAAAGGCTCCTTGGCAATCGTGAGAGATCCTAGCTAGCTGTATTGGAGGCTGTCCCCAAACTTTGTAAACCGGCAGCGTGTTTACTGGCCCTATTTGATCATGATTTTTAAAGCTCCAAAGTTTATTCCACAATAGAGGAGTTGCCTATGGATGTTAGAGGTGCCCTAGTGTTGTGTTGGACATCGAGGAATTTTCATGTGATTTACGGAGTATTTTTAGTTCACTTGTGTTTTATCTTGTAATCGGTTCATTCATATGTGATACACTTTTGAATATATTTTTACTTATAACTCCATTTATTAATCAAAATAGCATCATACTAATTAATTTATTAATACATTATAAATGTTTTTAAAATAATCTTTACTTGTGTTCATATTTTTTTTAAAATCATAAATTAAAAATGTTTTAAATAGTTGTACTACTAACATTAATAAAAAATTAATTGATAAATGTCAGTTATCAGCTGATTGCAAACGTCCATTTAAGCAAACACAACTTTACAAACTGCTAATACTATCAGCTAATCAAAACTGTCAACAGAATCTGCTGATATCAAACAAACAGCCAACTGTCAACGATCATTTGCCAAACACTCCTATAGTAGAACCCCCACTATAGATTGAGAAACCAGAACATGTCCTACATTTGGGACATGTATGACACCGTAACACGCCAGAAGTCATCTTGATGATCTATCTTGGTCCTCCCTCTTCAGCAACTCCATAAAGAAATCACTCCAGGCATCAATTGGTCCCGGCAAACACCAATGCACACAGTCATTGTGATACGTTCTGTTTGGCTCGGGCCGGTGCCCATACTTGTTAGGATGTCCATCCGGTCTCAACAACATCGCTTGAGTTACATCGAACAGTCTTAACCGAACCCCCTTTTTTCTCCCTTCCTCTTCTGCAATCCTAAACTCCTCTCTTTGAATATCATATGAATCAAACCTGAACTCACTGAGAGCAGCTGAGTCGCTCCTCTTGAACGGCTCTTTCCTCGCACAATCACCACCTTGATCCCAAGGCCCATTCTCAAAGTGTTGAGGTGCAAAGGTTCTCAGAAATGCCACACCCTTGAAATTATTTTCGAGGCTATTGACAGCCCGAAATGCAGTCTTTAAAGCCCACCTGTAGCTGAAAGCGCTTGTCAAGTGTGTCACATTTGGATCCTGGCAGTAAAGGCAACCTATGAGTTTCCCCTCCAGGAAAAAAATAGTTGGTCTGAAAAACCAGTGGCCAGCATTGATTATGACATAGTCGAAATCTTTAATTTTTGTAGTCCAAGATTCGTCAATTTCATCAAGGTAAAGATTGAAGGGGTTTGAGTTAACTTCAGAAAATAATTCTCCTGTCTTGACCAAATAAGGTGACCAAAACATGGTGATGTTGAAGTTGTATTCCCTGTACATAAAGCGTTTCCGGTTGGTATCTGCTGTGTCTGAAATGTCCAAAGGAATGGTAACCTGAAAAAGGAGTTAGCTTTAATTACTCCTACTATTATTATTACTCGTACTATTATTATTATCATATTTTAGTTTATGCTTATTATTATTATTATTATTATTATTATTATTAAAAAGTGTTTGATAGAATTGTGCCCCATTTTAAGATAACTGATAACGTAGTGTTCCACTTCCATTTCTAGAAATAGAATACCCTATGTATACAATACATCAAGAAGCTTGTCACCATTGGGAAAATATTTTGAGCATTTAGGACCCATCATATTTTGTTCCTGAAGGCATGTTTACTAACATAAATATTTTCCATTTTTCTATTTCTATTTTCCGTTCTCCAATTTTCTGTTCTTACTTTCCATTTTTTCTATCTCCAAAATTTTGTTTTCATTTTTTGTTTTTCCATTTTCAAATCTGAAAACATGTCCATACAATTTTTTCACACGATTTTGTGACCGACCAAAAGATCGAAAGTACGATCTCAGTAGGATATTGGGTCCCACGTATAAGAAAGTTGGGACCGAAACTTGTCGGTCCCGATCGATCTCAATAGTTAGTTTGATGAACTCTTTTCTCATTTCCCTATTGATTGACAACTCAATGGCTCTTTTAAAACTCTTCGCTTTAAAAAAAGATTTCAAAAAAACCGAGATTGAACTGCCTGATACTGGCCCAGGACCACCAGGTTGTCAATCGAACAAAACACAAACTTTCGGGTCATTTGCCACACAGGATTAAGACCGTCGGATTATTGATAGGACAAGACGGGGACTGCTGGGTCATTGATCAGACCGGACAAGGACTACCAGGTCGTGGACCAGATCGGACAGGGATCACCGGGTCGTCGACCAGACCGGGACCGTTGTGTTGTCAACCGGAATGAGATTGTCGGGTCGTCGACAGGATTGGACCGGGATTGCTTGGCCTTCGACCGGACTGGACATGGACTGTCGGATCAATGACCAAACTGGAGCACCGGGTCGTTGACCGGATCAGATAGGGATTGTCGGGTCATTGACAGGATCGGACTGAAACTGACACCGAAGCAGAACCGGATCCAACACTAGGCGTAAGTATGCAAATTTATTGTAGCGACAAAAAAGCATCCGCATTTTCTTAATTTGAAAAACTAGTAAAAATCAATTCTCCAATTCATCAAGGAAAACAAAGACATATCTCATTTTCCAGCAATACTTCCTCCGTCCCGAATTGAATTGCAAACTTTGACCGGCACAAGGAAAGTATTCTTATTTAAATACCTAAACTATTTTGGGACAACCAAAATAGGAAATTTTTCAAATCAAATTGAGACGGAGGGAGTATTTTTTGGTAAACACATTTTCTGTTTTCCTCTTTTAGTTTTCCAATTTTCTGAAAAAGTGGATAATATCTCTCATATCTTGTTTTGCATAAATAAGAAGCTTGTTTGATTGGAGCTCGTTTGGTACCATGTTTTCAGCATATGAGGCTTATCGGCCAACTTTTTCATAAAACACGTAATTTTTTATTTTGCGTGATGAATTGTGCATTAATAAGAAAAAAGTAAGGTAGGAATTACTTTTTCAGAATCAGCTAATCTAGTCACTTCAGTCAGAACTTCATAAATTTCAACAGAATCAGCCGATTCAACCAATTTCAATGTTACCAAACGGGTTCTAAACCATGCTCCATATTTAGCTAAACCATCACGACTATATACTTTGAACTAGATAATTTTGTGTAAATATATTTAACAGCCAATGAGGTAGCCAATGACTATGTAATTAACAATTATGCAATAAGTAATAAAAAGTAAAAGCACATCATTATCACAAGTTCAAACCATTACTTTGGGCAAATTATACCGTGGGATCCGTATACCATGTCCATGGTATACCGGTCCCAAAGACGGTACTATTTTGGAACTTAAGTCAGTCATGTGCTCGTTCTTTAATTGCCCACTCGCACTCCTCGTTCTCCCCCACCCTCTTTCTTTTTTCCTTTTTCATTTCTAACTTTTAATTTTTTCATTATCAAAAGCTATCATATTTCCAAAAGATTTCCTTTTAATTTAGGAACATTGGATGTATGTACTCCGTATTTCAATTTTGTGATTAAATTTTCACCCTTTCAAAATACATTAATTACTTTTTCTTTGTCCTAATCCTTATTCATACACTTTTTTGTCTTCAATTGAAATTACAACCAAAAGTTTATTATTTTTCATCAAAATAATTTTTTTTATATGTATACACTTTTTGTAATATAAAAAAAAGAACAGGGTGGATGAAGTGAAAGAGTGCGTCAGGATTTCTATGCGATCGAGGTATGCCGACTAGACTGGAGGGTAAATTTTATAGAACGACAAGTAGGCCTACATTACTGTATGGCGTAGAGTGTTGGGCGGTGAACAATGTCAAATTCAAAAGATGAGTGTGGAAGAGATGGGCATGCTGCGTTGAATGTGTGGGCATACTAGGAAGGACCGCGTGAGGAATGAGACAATCAGACAAAGGGTGGGAGTAGCACCTATTGAAGACAAGATGCGGGAGTCACACCTACGGTGGTTTGGTCATGTGCGTAGAAGACCGAGTGATGCACCTGTCAGACGAGTTGAGATGTGTGGAGAAGAGGCAGAGAAGAGAGGGAGAGGAAGACCCAAACAGACGTGGGTTAGGGGAGTTCGAAGTGATATGCTTCTTCTGAGGTTGGATGAGGGCATGACTTTGGAGAGAGCTAAGTGGAGGGTGGGTATTCGTGTGGAGGAGTGATCTCGTATCATCTTTTTCCCTCATCTTTTTTCCTTGTTTTTTATCCTTATATATATAAGCATTATTTGTATCCTTTTATTTTATCATTTTTATGTATATTCATCTCTTTTCATATTATCTTTTTATAATAGCTTATCTTTTTTGTCTTTATTTCCTTTCTTTTCCTTTTGGTAGTGATATCATGTATCGATTCATGTTAGCCGACCCCAATATCTTTTGGAACTAAGGCTTGGATGTTGTTGTTGTTGTTGATGATACACTTTTTGTAATATTTTTTCAAATTCATACACTTTTTGCAATAATATATTTCTTATATCTCTTATATGTTTTTAGAGCTTTTAAGATATTAAATTTGGTTATTTTGATTTACATTTGTTAAAATATGAGATTACATTTTCAAATGTGTGATTTACATTCCACATGTTTGAGTTATGTTTATAGAAAATTTCCGGAGTTACGTTTAATAGTATATGGAGTTACATCTTCTTGTGCGCGAATTACATCTGTTTATGCGTGAGTTACACTTCCTATGCGCGAGTTACATTTGGATTTGTCTCAATAAGTTACATTTTGCATATACCTAAGTTAAATTTTCCATCAACGCGAGTTACATTTTTCATAACACGAGTTATATTACAAAATAAACCCCTGCTAATGAAACAAAAAAAAAACATTTTTTGCAAATAAAAAAGATTTTTTGGAAAAACAAAATGATATTTCGGTACAAAAAAAAACGTTTTTTTGGCAATTTTTTTTATTTTTCTTCAAAACATTTTTATATGCCCTTAATACCAAGGTTGTTAAAATCTCGATTTAAATCGTAAAATCGTACGATTTTACGATTCTACATTAATACATCGATTCAAATCGCAGGTAAAATCGTAGAATCATAAAATCGAACAAAATCGTAAAAAATCGTATAAAAATCGTGTAGAATCATTTAAAATCGTAGCAAAATCGTAGCAAAATCATAATAAGTTTTTTTAGTGAAAATGGTTCAAATCTATTAAAATTAACTACTACAAATTGATACATAATTAAAATAATAATAATATCAATAGTGTATTTAGAAAACTAATGGATTTCTTTGTTATTTAATTATTTTTATGTTTTACATATGTTTAATGTTATTATTCACTACATTTACATTATTAAAATAGTTTATAGGTCTTGCTTTGGACCTTGTAGGTATAGTTTTATGTAATGAAATGATATAATATCATTAACTTGCAACTTAATATTATGGAGTAATATTTATTTATTTTATAATTATTAAAATAAAATCTTACGATTTGCGATTCGATTTTACGATTCGATTTTCAAAAACATCTACCGATTCGATTCAAAAATACGATTTTAACAACCGTGCTTAATACTAAAAAAACATATTAACTATTTACGTAAATGAATTAAGCAATTAGACTTCATGTTTTCATTGTTTACATTAGATAGTAAGTGGAGTTATCTCTTTATGCCCAAGCCACCATTTTTATACATGTGTTACATCTTTCTATGCGCTACTTACATTTGAGTCTTTTCTCATCAAGTTTTATTTTGCATACACCTAAGTTAATTTTTTACATCAACTCGAGTTACATTTTCCATAACATAAATTATATCACAACATAAACCTACTATTGAAACAAAAGAATAATTGTTTTTCAAAAAAATATATAATTTTATTGGCAAAAAAATGGTTTTTTTTGGGCAAAAAAAGTGAGGGCAAAAAAAGTGATTTTTTTAAACATTCTCATGGCCTTAATATTAAAAACAAAATATATTCACTATTTAAGTAAACCTCTGCTATTGAAACAAAAAAAATCACCTTTTTGCAAAAACAAAATGAGTTTTTAGGTGAAAAAAATAATTTTTTGGAAAAAAAAAATTGGAAAAAAAGTTCCAAAAAACATTTTTATGGCCTTAATATTAAAAGAAAACATATTTATTATTTACTTACAGTAATCGAGCAGACTCCTTGTTTCATTAAAATCAATGTTTTATTTCTTATAATACGTATTAGACAAATTATATTTCAACTAACCTGCAGTTACATTACTTATCAGCGTGAATTACATTTCTTTACAGTCAAGTTACATCATAAATCATACTCCCTCCGTTCCTAAATAAACTTCCAACTTTCCTTTTACTTCCGTTCCAATTAAAACTTCCACTTTCCCTTTTTGGTAAAGAATTTGTGGTTCACAACATTTTTTACACATTTCTCTCTCCTCTACACAACTCTCCACCACACAATATCCACTATCTTAAACTTTGTGCCAAACTCATTTGGAAGTTAAAATGGGAACGGAGGTAGTAAATTAGATAAACAGGAAACAGCCAATGACAGACCCACTGACGCACGGACATGTCATTAACAATTATGCACAATGCATAATATGCAGCATACAATATACTACCTTACCAAACTACACTAGATCTAAAAAAATAGTTTTTTTTTTATTTTTGTTATTTACAGAGTATTTAAAATCGAGAAATTTGCTCGCATACATAAACTTTAAGGATATTTATGCATTTTTCTAAAATTTACTACTCCGTAATTAGTTTAGGGGCATATGTGGTGCCAACCGAAGATAAACATAAAGGGTCCGTTTGGTAACACTGAAATTAGCTGTATTGGGTGATTCTGCTGATTAACAAAATATTTAGAATATATTTTATTAATAAAATAAAGAAAAAAATTATATGAAAAATAGATAAAATAGTAGTAACTTCAGTGAATACAGCTAGAAAGTAACATCAATCTTACTTTTTCTTATTATTAAACTGTTCGGCGCGCGAAACCAAAAATTAAATGTTTGGTTAAAAAGTTGAGTGATAAGCTTTATAATCCTAAAAAAGGGAAAAGGGTCAGATAGGGTCTTGAACTTAGGAGGTTCTAGTCCCACCGACACCATTTAGGCTGTTCCGGTGGAATTTTTCTGAAACTTTTTGAGCGTCTTATTCATTAAATCTAGTTTAATCATACCAATTTTAAACAAAAACTTCAATCGGGAAGACATTCAAATAAATTTTTGAAGATAAGTGCGCAGTTATCTCATAAAATTTCATAGAAAAATTCCACCGAAACTGACCCTAATGCCGGACAGAACCTCCTATATAAGACCTTATTTGATATTTTTTTTGTAGTTCGAGACACTATCTGACTCTTTTCTCTCCACAAAAGAACAACCAAATGGGCTCAAAGGCAATTAGTCATATTTTTATTTTTCCTAGATAAAAAAATTAAGAAGAAAACAGAATGGTACCTTTGACAAGAGGCAGACCAGTGATTGCATATGATTTCTCGCGAGAGAATCACCTACAAAGGCCAAAGCTTTGCCCCTAACAAGTTCCAAGAAGTAATACGGGTCAAAAACGGGAAGGTCGCACCCATCGGGCTTCCACCGCCACTTCAAGTATCCATTATCGGGCCGCCCGAACTTCAAGCAATCCTGATATTCCGGAATGCTCCAGCAAGTGCCATTAGTGTAGTAAGGAGCAGCCTGGTTCGGAACCCAATCTCCAGTAAAAATATCGCACCGGTCGATTATCTCCGCGGCTTTGACGCTTCCATTCAGATTTGGTCTGATTCGATCGGGGTTGGGTGAGTAAAGATCGAGACCAGCATCTAGGGTTCTGCTGAAGGAATAGTAAACGGTGAATACGGTGAGGAAGGCGACCGTAACGGACAGTGGTAGGATTAGGTTGCTACTGATGTTATGAGATGTGGATTTCTTGTTCTTTCCGAAGGGAAAATCCATGGGGGAGATAATGCAAAGAAATCAAGAATATAGCAGTTGTCAGACATCGGAAGCCCAATTTATACCCTGGCCTGGGATAGGCGCATTCATTATTTTTTTATTGTTAAAAATTGTAATAACTTTTTTATTTGATATTTGATTTTTATAAATTTTATATCAAATATTTATTATTTTTCATGATCTATAAAATGAGACCAATATTGCTTATGTAATTTTAACAAATTATTTTGAAGTTACATTTGATAATATATAATGAAGTTACATCTTCTTCTGCGCGAGTTACATCTTATTGTACGCGAGTTACATCTTAATATACACGAGTTACATCTTAATGTATGTGAGTTACACCATGAAATAAACCCCTGCTACATCTTTCATTTTTATCATTTGAAAAATAGTGTATGAATATGAAATACAATATACTTATTTTATGTGGATTAATAAAATTTTGTATTAAATTGGCAAAGAAAAAAATTAATTCTGTTATAATTGAATTAGTTAAAGATAAAGATAAGTAAAAAATCACAAATAATTAGATATAACTCACACATAATTACATGTAACTCGCGCATAAAAGTATGTAACTCGTGTATAACAAGATGTAACTCACACATAATTACATGTAACTCTCGCATAAAAGTATGTAACTCATGTATAGCAAGATGTAACTCACATATAACAAGATGTAACTCACACATAATAACTTGTAACTGGAGTATAAGATGATGTAACTTCGTATATTATCAAATGTAACTCCAAGCTAGAAGCAAAATAAACAAACTCAATATCTTAAAAACCTCTAAAACATATAAAAGTGATAAAAAAAATATATTATAGAAAAAGTGTATGCATATAAAAATATATTACAAAAAATGTATGAATGTAAAAAATTAAAATTACATAGGCAATATTGGTCTCATTTGAAAGATCATGAAAAATAAAAAAATTTGGTATAAATTTTATAAAAATTGGATCAAAAATAAAAAAATTATTAACAATTTTAAGAAAATGACAAATAAAAAATAACAAAGGGTGCATGGTGCTCACCATGCACCGGTACCACGGTATAAGCACTGCATCGGAAGTAAGGTTGGCATTTATATTACTCCCTTCCTAATAAAGCCAACTTTGTCAACTTTCCTTTTTTTTGGTTATCCCAAAAAACTTTGTGATTTTCCTATTAAAGCAACTAATTTTTGGTTATGCACATTTTTCTCTCTCTTCTGCACAAATTTCAACCATGCAATTTTTACTATTCTTATTTCTCATCTACTTTGCACTTGCCAAAGTCCATTGGGACGGAGGTAGTACAAAAAACACAATCGAAAAAAAATGGAACACAAACAGGGGCGGAGCCAAGGAGGTCAAGGTGGTCAGTTGACCCCGCTGAAAGTTTGAGAGATAGAGCTCTGAAATATCTTTGATTTTACTGTTCATCTACAGCGATTCTACTGTTCACTCTACAATAATCACGCCTAACCCAATTCTTCACGCAGCCTCTGTCTATCTCCTCATTCATCGAAAGTCCAAACCCATTCTTAACATTTTCCTTCTGCTTTCTCCTGATCACCATCCAGCTCCTCCGCCTTCATTCACTCTCTTCTCTTTCTATTTCTTCATACCTCCCTTTCAATTTTACGTCATCTCTATCTCGTTAAACTCCGTCATCTTCTTCCTGCCCCGGCTTCATCCCAGTACATCTCCATCATCTTCTTCCTGCCCTCACTTTCATCCCAGTCGATCGCCATCTCCATCCCGGTATGTTTATGAAATTCATCTTCAGCGATGCCCATTTCTTCCGATTTCATATCAGTTCATGTAAAACATCTCAGTTTCCGTATATATTTTTTAGTTTGTCTTTAATATACATTTTATTAAACTTTATACATTTTATTAAACTTTATACATTTTATAGAACACAAACTATTAAGCTTTATACAGTACATTTTATTCAAGCATGACATTGACACAGTATGCATTTGCTTATTGTTATTACACTTCAGTGTATGCCTTACAAATCGCTGACCATACCATATTTAACTGTGTGTATTCACCATGTTAAAAGATATCCCTTCTCAATTGATAAAGTAATGCTACCTAATAATTTCATTTTAATTCTGCCTATGTCATGTTTGATAAAATGTTTAGGTCATTTTTCCTTGTTTTCAAGTAACAACTATAGATGTTGTTTTATGGAGCTAAACCTATATTTCATAGTATTTGTATACTCTAATTCTGCCTATGTGATGTTTGATAAAATGTTCAGTTTAGATTTTGTTTAAAATATTTCTTGATTTCAATTCTGATTCAAGCAAATTACATAATTTCCGATTGAAATCCATTCCTCCATCATCTAGGCCATTCATGGGTAAAACCCCAAAAATCATGTGAAAGGAATAGATGTCCTTTTAAATGAAACTAGTAATTAAAGAGGGGTTTTGGGGTTGAATGGTTTAATTTAATTAAAAACTAAGATAAACAACTTATATGTGATTTAATTCAAAGATAAAAAGAACTTGGCTTTACTACTTTCCACTTGTTGATATATTTAGTCGATCCTTGTTATATCTATAACTTATCCCCTCTCGAATACTCAATCGAGGAGTATATCCAATTCATCGATAGTAGTTATTAACAACGATCGTTCATTAACAACCCTTACTATTAATCAAATGTAGAACAACGCCGTATACCGATTTAATAGTAGCATTTAATCTTTTTAACTCCTTGATGAAATCAATTGAGATTGATAACCTCAACACAACGGTTTCGGTTTAACCAACAAAATTAATCCCTCTTAAGTCTATTAACCACGATCGTGCATTAATAAACCGAAGTTACTTACTTGTGAAACCATCAACGATTAGCCATCGGTTCGTTGATCATTTCTAGTAATAATTTATGTCGAAGTGTTAACTAATCATCCCTTAGCAACACCCCAACATTAATATAGAATGAGATTAAGGGAAGAATTGATATTCAAAAAGAGAAGTTAAGAAAATAACTCACAACTTTAATAATCAACAAGCTTCAAGAGCAAAACCAAGAAATAGAAGTTTAGCTCCTCATTTGGAGACTAAACATTGCTAGAAAAATATAAAGAAATGTTATTCTAAACTGAACTTAAGTATATGGAAGAATGGATATCAAAATGGGAAGGAAAACAGATGTATTTATAGGTGTTTTGGTGAGGTTGGGTCTGATACCCGACCAAGTATAGAGGATACCCTACCGGGCATCTATGGCAGTAGCCACGAAAGTGCTGAAATCTAGTCATACCTAGGGTTGTAAACGAATCGAATCGAACCGAATACTTGATAATATTATTCGTATTCGTATACATATCGAATATTCGTATTCGTATTCGTTTAAAATTCAAATCTTATTTTGTATTCGTATTCGATTCGTTTGATATATTCGAATCTTTTTCGAATCGAATTCGAATATTCGAATTCAAAACACATTAAAGTTAATTTGTGAAAATAATTAAAATTATGATGTTAGTTTGCCCCTTTTAACTAACTTTCATATTACATATTTTATAGGAAACAAAATTCATTTATAGAAGTCACTTCAAATTTAATATCAATATAGATAAATCAACGGAGAATTTTAATTGTAAATTAAGCTATTTTGACCTAGTAAAGTAAGAATTTTTAAATTAAAACATGCAAAATATTTACATAAATATTTTATTATTAATATTTTTACATTGAACTATATGTATTCATAAGAAGTACTCCGTAGTATATATTGTATGAATATATAAATATATATATATATATATATAATTCGAAAATATTCGAATATTATTCGAATCGAATATCATAGTATCTGTATTCGTATTCGTAAAGTATTCGAATCAAAAAATAGATTTGTATTCGTATTCGTATTCTGCTTACTCGAATTCGAATCGGCATTTTCGAATTCGAATCACGAATCGAATCAAAATTATTCGATTCATTTACAACTCTAGACTCATACCCGACCGGGTATGTCAATATACCCGACCGGGTATATGACCGAATCTGATTTTCCCAGGATCTCTTGCTTTATTTGATATTGTAAATCTCTGGGTCAAGTCATACCCAACCGGGTATCAAAAATACCCGACCGGGTATCAAAAATACCCGACCGGGTATCAAAAATACCCGACCGGGTATGACACCAAATCATTTTTTGCATGATTTCTTGCTCCCTTGCACCTTCTTTGATTTTTGTAAGATCCCTTCCATGATACTTTGTTGATCCTTGATTGATTCTTGCTCAAGATAATTCTAAATTTAGTAAATTACAACAAACTAGAAAAATAAAATGATTGCACCGTAAATGTGCAATTACCACAACAACACACCGTAAAAACTAATTAAAAGTAAAAATATAAACAAACAAAAATCAATGCAGTCATCTGCAGATCACAATAATCACAAATTACCTTTAATTTTTTTAGTTTTCTTCCACGACTATGAATGAGTGGAATCTGTAGTGGTTGGATGAGGACATCAATTTGTACAAGACTACCCTTCTGATTGACTTCAACCGGTCACAAATTTTTTACTTTTCTTATTTCTCACGTAATCCAAATATGGCAAAGTTCAATGCAAGAGAGGTAATATTCACGAGTTAAATTTAGACTAGCAGCGGGATAGAGTGAGGTTGCAAGGGGGGAGGTTTGTCCAGGGTAGGGGGCATGTTGAGGGGTCATGTCGAGGGCCTGTTTCTGGGTCCCCAGAAGTATGTGGGCCAAAGAATCGAGGACCATATATTCCATTAGGATTCTCTCACTCCTATTGTCGAGAGGTAGTCGAGGCAATGAGAGTATTTGAATATTCTTATTTTTAAAGTTTCTATTTTTCACATGTTCTGCTTTATTGAGGATGAGGGTGAGGGGTAGTCCCTCGGTTCCCAACTCCAACTGGCTCAAGGTGCAGCAGCAGTGGGGAACTGGGACTCTGCAAATCACAAAAATCACAAGTTACCTTTAATTTTTTTAGTTTTCTTCCACAACTATGAATGAGTGGAATCTGTAGTGGTTGGATGAGGACATCAATTG